ACCAGCATTTCCCAAAGTGGGACAGGATGGAGCAAGCCCTCTTTCATGAGATATTAGCAGGTGGGATCAAATAAATTTGGGAAGTCAACAATATGTGTACTCAGAATGTGTGTCAGTAAGTCAAAGCCTCTGACAAGTCCCACAACAACGTTAAAAGCTGTTTCACTTTGGGCCACCAAACACTTTTTTTCACACCCCTTGGACACACCCTCTTATATCCAGTGGCTCCGTATGCAATAAAACATCATTTCAGTTTCAATAAAACATCACCTCACGTAGTAAACTGTCAAGTGACTGTCAATAACTATCATGTTGATTGTTCTTATGGTTTCACAATTTGAAATAGAAGATAGAAGTCGTTTCTGTCTTACATTTTAAACACAGGTTCCTTTATCTACAACATTTAGGATCAGGAAGATTCTGTTTCTGTCCACTGTCTCTTCTTGCCACAGGAAGGGGGTGTTGGAACAGGGTCCTGGGGTGCTGGGTAATAGAGTTCTGCTCTTGGCCATTTCCCCATGCTGGGGTGTCACCTGCCACACTAGATGTGGTCTCCTTTGAGGAGAGCAGCAGAAGACCCAGCCCATGCCCTCTGCATCTCTGTTAAGAGGACACACTCCAGCACCTTCTGGAAGGTACTGTGGGGTATGGGAAGACCTGCTTTTCAGAGCAGACCTACCTGGGCTCCAAATCTGCCTCTGTCACTACTCAGGGACCTTCAGCAAGTTACTTTACCATTCTGAACCCCAGTTTCTCCCCCCATGGGGGAATAATGATACCTACTTAGCAGGACTGGGAAGGTTCTGGATGGTGAGCTTAAGGCGGTAGTAAGCTCTTAAAAGCAGGGCCATCTGGTCTCTGTGGAGTGGCCACCAACCTCGTGTGGGTAAATTGAGTGACCAGAGAATCCAACAGGGCAGAAAGCACTGTGGGGGTGTCGGTGACATGCAAAGTAGCCGGAAAGCGTGAAGGGGCACGTGCTACCAGCGCCCAAGGCGAGGGGCAGAGGAGCTGAGGCGGTGGGAGCAGGGCAGCCGGTGGGTTTAGTGGCTGTCCTCGAACCTCGGAAGCGGCAGGCGTGAAGGAAGCTTGGTGGCAGGCCGGCAGCCTGGGCTGCGCAGGAGGTCGCCAGGGGAGGAGCGAGGGGTTGGGACACAGACCTTTGAGTTGAGGGACCCGGCTGACGGACCTCCCTGGCAGACCAGACACAGGCCGCTTTTCAGATGCTTCTGGAAGGTCAACCTGTTTTGTGTCCTCTCCCATGGAGGAACCCTGAGCCCCCGGGAGTTTGACCCCTTCCAAATCCGACTCAGAAGGTGCGGGTTCCTTCGGCACGTGGGGTCGGATCTCCACGTGGAACGTGAACCCAGGAGGAGCCTCGGACCCCTCCGCTGCCGCCGCCGCCAGCCCCGCGCTGGGCTCCGAGGCCTGGGTCTCTGCAGGAACTTTGGGGAGGAAATCGACAGGGAGGGGCATGGCAGCCTCTGAAGGGGAACCCCGGAGGCCAGCGGCTTCTCTGGAGGTTGCCTGTGGGGATGGACCACCCCGGGCTGGGGAGACCTGGGAGGGAGGGGAGTCTTGGGGTGAGGACTCATCGACATCGCGGTCTTCGTCAACTTCCACCTCGGCTCGGGGCCTCTCTTTGCTCCATTCCCCCTTCGGAGGCGGCCCCTCCTGGAGCAGGTCTCCTGAAAGCTGGCGCTTTAGCAAGGCTGTGGCACGCTGGCTTCCCTCTGTGTCCTCAGGTCCTGTCCCCGGAGGCTGGCAAGTGGCTTCTGTCGGGCCTTTGGGCAGGATGGGAGCCCCAGGAGAGTCGGGCAGGTGCTGGGGGCTTAGACCCAGGGCGCTGGCAGCCTCGCCTCCACCGCGCCCTGGCTCCCCCAGGAGGCTTTCCTGGACAACCTGGTCACTCTGAGCCTCCGTGTGGAGAGGTCCGGGGGAGGCGGGCTTCAGAAATGAGGGGCCCTCCTTATCCCCACCTTTTGGTTCCCACTGCTGGGGGGCTCCTGAGCGCAGATGGGATGATGCAGAGGAAGGCGAGCCACAGGGTCAGGCTCTTTCTGCCCCAGAGATGGCTCCGGGACCCCAGGAGCTCCTCTGCCATCTCCAGGCTGGACTTGGAAGCTGCCGGCGGGGACCCTCCCTGGCACCTCCCTGTGCTGGCCCAGAACGTCCAGCTCCCATGAGTTTGGAGAGGCAGCAGTGGTAAGAGGTGAGCAAAGGCGTGTTAATTGGTTAGGGGAGGGAACGTCCCTCCGTCCATGAGAGAAGGGCATTTAAAGGGCACCACATGCCCACCCAGCAAAAGTGGGCATGAATTCCAGCTGGCTGTGCTGCTTTTGTCTGTCTGGGATGAAACCTCTCTGTCTGGCTGTCAGCAACTCCCTGAGTGACCCTAGATGAGCCCTCCCTTCTCTGGGCCTCGTTTTCTTATCCATAAACAGGGTGCTTGGGCCCGGTGTCGGCTAGCGTGTGCATTGTTCCTCTGCCTAGGCGTGTTAGCGCGTCCACCAGGGCTACAGGCACGTCCCTCTTTCTAGGGACTTCGAGTCCCTTGAAGAGTCAGGTCTCTCAGTGGACCCTGACAAGGACCCCCTTGCCCTTCCCACTCTCTCACCACTTCCCCTTTTGGCAAATGAAACCAGAGAATCACCATAGACCAACCTGCCTCAAGCCTGGGTTCTGATTTGGAAAATCCAAAATTTATGATCATCAAGGATTGCGTCTTTGCTGACCTGCCACAAGATTCTTATCAACAGAAGCACATTCGGATTTGTCCAGGCCTCGATCATAGGCCTGCCGGGGGAGTTGAGGCCGACCCCCGTGCAGTGAAGACACAGACAGCCCTTGTGGATCACTGCTTTAACCTACACAGCAGCCCAGCTCCAGGTGCACTGGTGTGACGTTCGTGTGACACCTGGCTGTGTGTCGGGCTGGAAGTGACGCGCTGTAGTTCTCCTAATAAGCACCTTTATTTTTCTAGCCCCCTCTCTAAATGTCCTACTTAGTCCCGACAGAACAACTCACACGACTCTCCAGCTGTCCTCTGCACAAAACTTGGAGTCCCGAAGGATGAGGGATTGAAGAAGAAGAGCTGGATGAGGAAAGGAAGCTGGGAGAATGCGTGTGTCCACACACGTGTGCAGTTGTGGGCATACACACGGACATGTGGGCCTGTTCCTCTCTCCCCAGCCCAGTCGGAATTGGTGCTCTCTACTGAGGGCCCAGGAACAGTTCACACTCACCCTTACTCTAATGCCAGGCCATGTTTGTGACCTCATTCATTTCATGTTCCTGGAATTATGCAGAGCCCACCACACAGACGGTCAGTGGATAGATCCTGTGTAGATTGACTGGGGTTGGGAGGAGGTGCTGATTTTCTGCCTCTCCCAGGGCCCAGGGTCAACCACAACACAAGGCCAGAGATGCTGGAGGCAATCACCCATTGAGATGGCCAGAGCTGGCCGCCAGGACTTCTTGCCAACCAACCGGCTCAACATACCAGAGGCCAGGGCACTTGCTGGTCCCCAGGCCATCCTGAGAGAGGTCATGTCTCCACTGCTTTCTGAAAAATGCCTTTCTCCAATACTTTCCGAATAACTGCTCTTGACTGAGATGTTACTGTGCTCTGATGTATTACAAGACTTTAAAAGACCCCAGAAAGTCAAGGCCCCAAACATAAATAGTACACATACCTTGAAAAGTCATCAATATAAAATTGCACTCTGTGTGTGTGTGTGTGTGTGTTTATTGACCAATGGGGAACCAACACAATGCAATTAACTCCTGGAGGGAGGAGCCCAGTCAAAGAATATTCTGTTCGGTTCCCAAGGTGCTAGGAAGTGCTCAGTGAATAGTAAACACAGCAGTCACCAGGGGTGGGGGAGTCCGAGGTAAACCACTGAATGGGCACACACAAGCACGCAGATGAACTGCACCCACGAGTCCGAGGCAAACACAGTGGGCCACATGAGTCGCCCCCCACGCTTCCCAACAGGCCTGATCTCCACGACTCTTAAAGAAGGAAAGTGTGAGTGGAGGTGGCTAAGCCTTCCTGCCTCTCCCTCCCAGCATACTGCGGCTCTGTCCTACCTATCTTAGTGCTCTATGGTTACAGGCTGCCGCCAGGGGTTCTTCTGCAGTCGGAAAGAGCAAGAGAAGGATCTCACCGGGCTTTGGTGTACGTGGCTCTTCCTAAATCCAGAGATCTCTGCACAGCACGGAAGGCAGGCCCCTGCTCCTGTTTGCTCCTGTCTTTGCGTGTCACGCACGTTCAGTGCGTCCAGGTCTCACAGGGTTCGCTGCATGGAACTGGGCTTGGCAGTTTGGACCAGCAGTCCCAACCCAGGCAGCAAGTACTGGCCTTGGTAGTAGAGGTAGAAACCTCCATGTATTTGTGGCTCCGTGCCCTTGCCCACTGCAGATATTACCAGGCATTCACCTTTATATCGGTACGATTCCAGGCCACTATTGAAATTTTTAAAAATTCAGTGAGCACAAAAGTAAAGTTTCCAGAAAAGATAGTGACTTTATCTATTCATTTGGAGCATGTAGATATCACCTGCACTAAAAACCTGCAGAAAAAAAACTCATTCCAATTTTTTAATTAATTGCCAAAGGGTGTGTGCACTTGCTAGGGTGAGGCAGAAAGCACCCCTCAATGGGGTGTGGTCTCGCTGCAATCCTTTCTCCATTTCTCCATCCTGTTGGGATTTGGGGCACGCATACATGTGCACCCAGCATGTTTTTGAAGCTGCCAGTGCCAGACTTCGAACTGTGGTCAGCTGTGAGGAATCTGGCTCCTTTAACCACTAGGCTATAGGGCTGGCTCAGTATTCACCTTTTTATGGAAATAAATGGCCATTTCTAGAGGTTATGCTTTATAAAAGCTGAAAGACATGGCCTAAAAGAAATAGGAGCCAAAATTCTAGTTTGTTCACACACAGATTGAGGTCTCCTCTTGAACTGGTTAGCCCTTCC